GAAAATAAAAATATTGTTTATGAATTTGGCAAGAATTGTTTTGAACGTAATTGTCAACGTGAGGCTATTGCCGATTCTCTATGGTATCGTAAAATCATGTATTTAGCGATGACTCATTTCGGCTGCGTTGAAAGACCTTTCAAACCTAAAGGATTCTCAGACTTACACGCGAAGTTTGTAGAATCCCGCAAATATCGTCAGCCACGTGACCCCGCAGACGGGGTCATAATAAGGCCTTCTGGAAACCGCCAGGCCGAATTCCGGGAGAGGGTTCGTGCAGCCTCTTATCGTAAATCGCGGCGCTGGCCTCTTCGCGTGGCGGAGGCCTTTGGGTCGGAGGTTCGCGTGGCTGCGAGGGGGCGGCGGCGGAGGAGGAGGAGGGGGAGGAAGTGAAGGGGGCGCGATGTCTCTGGCGGCTGCCGGATCCCAGGATTTTCCGCGTCACCGACCTCCATTCGGCTCTGCGACCCCGCCGCCCCTCGCGCCCGCCCGCCCGCCCGGCCCGTGCCCGCCCGCCTCCCAGGGGAGCTGTCTTCGCCCGCCCGAGTCACCCGTGTGCGGCGGCTGCTTATCTGACCCGTACAGGTACGACTAAGATGCGCCAACCCTTATTCGTTTCTAGTCAAGAGAAGACACAACGCGCAAAAATCTATGTAATACATTTCCTCCTACGTACATCACCTCGGTGGGTGAGGGGTAGCCTATTCGGCCCTGAACCCCAGTCTCTGTTTCGATCCCGGGCGAGGTGCGCGGGATTTTTCGAAGGGCGAAAAATCCACAGTAGCCAAGTCACTCTTGAGGCACGTCAAGAACTCCAGCGATATGCCCGGCACAATTAAATCCTTCGGACAACGTCCCGCTCTAACGAATTCTTACGTTCTCCCAACCAGTCAGTTCGTATGTAGTTAACTCAAACCGACATCAAGCGGAGAAAGTGAGAGTAAATACAATGCGCGTTCAGGGGACCCACACGCGAGGTGCGCCTGCTCGATAGAAGTCCTGAGACCCGCGTCGGAGGTGCGTTTGCAAGGAAGCGTGGATCGAGAACTCGGTGCGGAATAAGGGAAGTCTCCCGCAAATAATCCAATATAATGAATAAATAAATCCCACGTACACGTGTTACATATAAATTTCTCTAATGTTCCTTGTAACTTTCGCCTGATCTTAGAATAAGTCTGACGGCATAATCTACACTCAGAAAGAGGGATTGCGCCCCGCGACCAATCGAATTAACACTTTGTGTCATTTCACAACCAACCAAAATTCGTAGCCATGGTTCGGGTGCGGAATAAAAAGAAATTTTATTAAAAGAGAACGTAATTAATCAAGTTTATTTTATCAACGAAAATACCCATGGATTTTATGAATGCTATTGAAAGAGAATGCACCGTTAAAAGAACTCTCAGAAAAGAGAAATAAAGAGATCCGCTCTGATATAACAATAAGAATATGCTTAAATGCTGAATCTATCTCTCTCATTCACTATTCATTCACGCCCAACTACTTGCAAATCCAGGTATACTTCGATTTTTCTGTGTGGGCCGATGACAATATGTCATTGTTACACCTCCTGCCTTAATAAAATGAATATTTTTAAATACTTCGCCCACGTCCTTCTCAACGGGGTCGTGGCTCACAATGTGGTTACCACCGTTAAAAAGTTAAAAAATTAATTTTAGAAAGGCAGGAGGTGTAAAAAGAACTAGTCATCGACCACTGTAGAAAAAGTTTAGTGTGAAACGCATTCGCGACCAACTTCACGTCGACGGGTTTCGCGAAGCCGAGTTTGTATCAACCCCCTCCGTTCATCTCGCTCTCTTACCTCGCTTCCGCTTCCCAGGAAATTTCTGATTCGGCCGCCGTCTGCACTCAGCGCTCCATTGTCTGCCGCGGCGCCTCCGCGAACCCAAATCTGCCCCCTCGATTCGCGCGACCGACCGAGCGACGCAGCCGCGCGCGAGGGGCTCGCGAATGCGCTGGCGCCGCTCGCTTTCGGGAGCGATTCCCCGAGAAGACCTGCACTTCTCTCACAGCTTCTCTCTGGCCTCTCCCACTTCCCTTCTTCCTCTCCCTCTTCTATATCAATATTTCCTTCCCTTCCCTCCTTCCCCCACTGCCTCCCTTTCTCCTCTCTTCTCTTTTCTCTCTCCCTTCTCCTCTCCCTTTCTCTCTCCCTTTCTCTCCTCCTCTCTCTCCTTTCTCTCCTTCCCTTTCTCTCTCTCTTCTCCTTTCTCCCTTTCTCTCTCCCATTCTCTCTCCCTTCTCTCTTCCCTTTCTCTCCTCCCTTTTCCTCTCCCTTTCTCCTCTCCCTTTCTCTCTCCCTTTCTCTCCTCCCTTTCTCTCTCCCTTTCTCTCTCCCTTCTCCTCTCCTTTCTCTCTCTCCTTCCTCTCTCTCCTTTCTCTCTCCTTTCTCTCTCCTTTCTCTCTCCCTTCTCTCTTTCCTTTCTCTCTCTCTTTCTCTCTCGCCTTTCTCTCTCTCTTTCTCTCTCTCTCTTTCTCTCTCTCTTTCTCTCTCCTCTTCTCTCTCCTTTCTCTCTCCCTTCTCTTCTCCGCTCTTCTCTCTCCCCTTTCTCTCTCCTTTCTCCTCTCCTTTCTCTCTCCTTCTCTTCTCCCCTTTCTTCTCCCTTTCTCTCTCTTCTCTCTCCCTTTCTCTCCCTTTCTTCTCCCTTTCTCTCTCCCTTCTCTCTCCTTTTCTCTTCCCTTTCTTCTCTCTTTCTCCTCTTTCTCTCTCCTTTCTCTCTCACTTTCTCTCTCTCCTTTTCTCTACTTCTCCTTTCCTCTCCTCTTTTCCCTCTCCTTTCTCTCTC